TGCACAGAACATCAAAAAATATTAGGACCGGCCCTGGAAACATCTATGACACTCATATGGCATCCAATGAAACATTCTCATAACGAGTCATGTCCGGTATGTAAGATCCTATATTGTACCCATATATGGATTCTATATCTCCAAAGAATCCCTGCATATACTTGCCATACCATATTGATTCAACCTAAACCTAAATTAATATTTGATTAGACACATTTTAGAATACATTATTCTAAAGTGATTATTACATTTAGATATATCACAAAATAATATGTAATCATAATAAATGAGTAGTATCTTTCATTCAATAAACCATGACACAATATCCAAATAGAATCCCTCAATATAATTGGCTTTTAAACATATACATTAACACTTGCAATGAATTCATAAGCATATGAGTCGGTTTTATGGAGTACGTAAGGGATGAGATTCTCAAATCATAACATGGAAATAGACATTGTGATTATTATGTAATTTCTAAGTGAAGGAGTTTAACTTGAGATTCCTTTTGTTTTATTGAAAATAGGCATTGTGATTATTATGTAATTTCTAATCCATCCCTTACTGTCGTATGGAAATAGGTCTTGTGATTATTATGTAATTTTCAAATGAACGAGCTTATTATCTCCTTGGACTAAATATTGGATTTGGTTGATGTCAATCCATCTGACTATATAGTAGGTTTGGTTGATGTCATTGTGCATTTATCTATAAGCCTATTAGCGTATTTGACTATAGACTAACATCTGTTGATGTCATGGTATGCTTATCAATGAGTAAGACTCCTATAACATTGGTTTGTGACTTACTTATGTGTTCCGTCACGATAAATGGTAAATCGGGTCTCCCCCGTCATTTTCGGATGCTTTTATGCCCTTCTAAGCGTAAGCGTGAGTTAATCGTATAAATAACTTGATTAAAGCTATGTTTTTCCGTTTTAATGTTTTATAACTTTATTCCTGGTCGTGTAAGTATTGAGTCTTGGTTGCATATAATTAGGTATTTTGATTAACGATTGTTCATCAAGAAAATGGTGGGTTTTCGGAAAGATGTTGCTTTTACGATAAATATATTTCATTTGCAAAATTATAAATTTAATCAACAACTTTTCAGTTTTACCGTTACATGATTATGATGAAAATTGTTTGAACATACTAGGCGTTAAACATAACGTTTTTCCTTTGTCAGCATGTGCATCAGGTTGTGGGAAAATGGTACTAGCGACACTGTGATAAGATCAGTGCTAGATAATTGCATGAGAAGGTTTTAGATTATCGTTGATGTCTTCCGCCTTTGGAGATAGCGACAGTTATTGGGTTATAGTAACACCCGACCTTAATTTAGTCTTCTTGTAAGAGTTTATCTATCTTTTGTTGATGATGATCTTAGATTAGATATTCGAGGTAATTCAATTATTAATTAGTAGAAAAAGAATTTACTCTTTATTTGTTGTATTAATGAAAATTTTAAATCAACGGCTGTTTTCAGATTTGAGGTTATGACACGAAAGTTCATTTCTTTTCTCGTGGGGAGATTTTATAGAGGTATGGCCGAAGAAATGGGGGATTGGTTTAGCTTTTTGGGGTTTGATTTGTGAAATGGGGGAAGAAGAAGAATAAGGAGGTATGGTTTTGTGTTTGTGTACATAAATGTATCTATATATACTTACTTATATATGAAGTAATGTAATATTATAGTAATCATTATTATTTAATTAATAAATAATGTAATGTAATGTAATATATGTTTTAATTTTTTAGAAGAAAATTAAGTAAAACAAAAAAGACAAAAATACCCTTTATTTGATGGACATTCTTTAATAGAGTTGGTGATTGAGAATCATTTTTAGAACAAAATACAAACGAGAAGGATGATTTCTGTACTTATCAAAGTTCAGATCTTAATTTCAGACCTTTCATTAAACCTCAAAGGTCAAGATTAAAATTAAAAGTTTACTATATAAAAATATTCTTAACATTGATTGTAAGAAAAAGATTAGTAAAACAAAGTTTAAAAACATTATTTTTATTGAAATCAGACAATTTTTTTGAACTTATTAAAATCAAACAAATAAATATTAAACTTACTAAAATCTAAAAATATTGTAATAATTGATTGTGTGAGAAAGAAACTAATAAAAATGAGTTTTAATAAATGGTGTTGTTATAAGCACATATATTTATGTTAGAATCAAGTTAAATCATACATTAAAAACATAAAAAGTAAGTTTTGATATTGATGTATATGATGATAAATAGGTTAAGAGTATCTAGGCATGACAACGGGGCGGGAATGGAACGAGTTTTGTAATCCCCGGCCCTGATTTGAATAACATCCCCCAATCCCAGCTCTGGCCTCGGTCCCCGACGGGTACAAGATTAACATCTCGTCCCCGGTCAAACATATGTCAATCCTCGGTCAAATCCCGATCAATCCCTGATCAAACCCCATAAATAATGTCCTTTATTTGATTCTACTGGGGATCCCCAGCCTCGGGACCCGTTTTAGTGGGAAATCCATGTCCCCGTTCGGGTCGGGTTAACCGGGTTCCCTATCGGGTCGGGACAAATCACCATCCCTAAGAGTATCTTCGACATATTCTTTAAAATAGAAAAATGAGACTTTGATAATAAAAAAATAGAAAACTAGAGAAAGTTATGAGATTGGGTTATTATTATTTTAAATAAATTATTTTTAAAAAATTGTATTGAGATGAGAAATTTATATAATATTTTAATAATATAATAAATGTTAAAATCTCTAAAATAAAGAATCTATTAGAGTTAAATGTACTTCTTTCTTAAAGATTTCCATTTTTTGTTCATGGTTGTAAAGAAATTACAAGAAATATGTTAGAGATATTTTTAAAGATAGATTTAAGCATCTTATAAACTAGCTGATATAGTTAACTTTTGTCAAACGTGATCTATTTATCAATTAGCTTATCAACTAACAATTAATTTATCAACTAGTTTATCAAACATAGCCTTAAAGTATTTATATCAAGTTTGATAGGTAGTACCTTTTAAAATTTCAATGTATATATGATATTTAGTAATATAATTATACAAAAAAATATTTAATATTAAGTTCATCATGAATGTATTAATAAGACGATTATAATGATTTACTGGATCTTAATTTATATATAATTATTTATATTAATATGATAAGTATGTAAATTAAAAATAAAAATATAAAGATATAAAATAAATTAAATAATTAAAAGTAGAAAATATGATTAAAAAATTAGAAATGAATTTTAATATTATCTTAAAAAACATAGGAAGTTTCATAGAAGGTTATCCAATTCTAAGTTTAGAGCATCTTCACTTTTTTTTTCTTTTCAATTTATTAAATTAAGAATTCTTTTTAAAAGTTTACAACAGTAGTTTCTATAATTTTTTTCTTCTCATTAATTCTTTTAAAATCAATAATTATTATATTAATAAATATAAAATAAAGAAAATAAAAAAAATGTCACTTCTCATATATGTTTTGATAAAATTAAGGTTCTTGTTTAAACATCTGGAGGTAGGGGTGCTCAAAAATCCGACCAACCCGATCAACCCAACCCAATCTAACGCGAAATAACCCAACCTGAAGCAACCCGATGTCTAATCGAGTTGTAAAATTGTCAAACCGTAGATTTTGGGTTGATATTGGGTTACTATTATTTGAACCCAACCCAATCCGGTGAACCCGATATCCTTTTATTTCTTGGATTTAATATGAGTGTTGAATTTCTATTAATATATACATTAGACAATTACACTATCTTGTATGCTTTTCATATACACATATTTTTAATTTATTCATATCTTTATATAACTCATTCATATATATGTTCAGTATATATATATGTAAATTGAGAAAATTAACTGAATGTGATATACGTAAGAAATATGGATAAGTTGTATCAAATGGTTGATGATGAAAAAGAAATTATGAGTAGAGAAATAACATATTCAAGGTTAGAAGAATATTTTAATATACCAAAGTATCAACCCAACCAACCCGACTAACCCGACCAACCCGTACGGGTTGGGTTGGGTTGGGTTGCACTTTGGTTTGAGTTGGGTTGGGTTAAAATTTTTCCAAACTGCAAGCATTGGGTTGAGTTATTCAAATGTCTTCAACTCAATCAACCCAACCCAACCCATGAACACCCCTATCTGGAGGACATGAAATTCTTATAAAAACCTTTTTATGGTGGTAGGTTATTGTAAGCTGCTACATTTTTTGCTAATAGATATATAAAACAAACTTAATTGAAAATGAGGTAGTATGGTTGAGTTCTGATGAAAATGAGAGTTAAAACGAGAACCATAATAAAAGATTTTCATTTTTGAACGTACATTAATATCAGATGTAATACATCAGATGAATTCTCATATCAAACATAATTTATGAATAAGTTTGAGGGGATGTTTGGCAGTTGCTGAATGATTCGGTGCAAAATGATTAAGTGGTCAGAATGATTAAAAGACTCTTATGATATAGTGCAAAATGAAATATAATTATTTGGTAATTGTTTAGAATGAAATTATGACACTAAATGATTAAGGGGGACCTAAGATACAAAATCATTCAGAGGGTTTTAAAACCATTAAAAAACAGATTTTTTTTGCCAAACAAGATTTACCTATTAATGATTCAAACATTATCTTTTAATAAAACTATTAAAAAGTAAACAAACAATTTTTATATTAAAAATAATAAAACCTCTTATTATTTTTGTTTTGTTTGAAAGTCGAGTTAGCAATAAATAACCTTGATTGGGCAGCGTAAACTTGAAAGCTTAGCTGTCAAATTGTGGTGCGCCTGTCACCGGTAGCAGACGAAGGAGCACTGTGACCTCCCCAAAACCCAAAAAGTACCAAAAATCCACTCATCAAAATATATATTCATCTCACTCCTCCATTCTTACTCTTTCTTTTAAACAAAAATCAATCCCCAATTTCATCTTCATCTTCATCTTCATCTTCATCAACAATCCATATGCCCTTTTGAACCTCATATCCACCATCTTCCATGGTTTCTGTTCAAGAATCACACGATTCCAATCCGGGTCGATTCCAGATAACCCGACCCTATTACACCCCACCTCCTTCCTCTGCTGCTTCTTCACCCTCCAGGTTCCAGAAGCATCTCGGTCGCTCTATGCGAACTGTTCGCTCTAATCTTTTCCACTCTGAATACACCGACAGTTGCTCCTTCGCCTCCACCCAACAACCCCCAACTTCTCTTCTTTCTGAAAACCTAACTGATTCCGTCATCGATGTTCATTTACAGCAACTTGCTACTGCCACTGCTAAGTCCAAAACATCGTCTTCTACCGTCTCTTCCGATGATTTCCTCGGAATTTCTCAAGTATTCAGTGATTTCTCGGCCTATAGCAGCGATATATCCGGAGAATTGCAACGCTTAGCGTGCTTGCCGGAGGATTCCAACGAGAATGATTCCAATCAGGAGCAGAAGCCGGAGCCGGAGCCTTGCTTTGGGTTTTTGCAACGGGAGAATTTTTCTACGGAGATTATCGAGAGTATCTCGCCGGAGGATTTACAACCGACGGTCAAGATCTGCGTCGATAGTCTCAGCTCCAGCTCCGTTGCCGTGAAGAGGTCGGCGGCGGCGAAACTGAGGCTGCTTGCGAAGAACCGATCGGAGAATCGTGCGTTAATTGGTGAGTCCGGTGCTGTCCCGGCACTGATTCCACTTCTCCGGTGTGCCGATCCTTGGACTCAAGAACATGCCGTCACTGCCCTACTTAATCTATCTCTTCTCGACGAGAACAAACCGTTAATCGCTGGCGCTGGAGCTGTGAAATCGTTAATTTACGTTTTGAAGACCGGCACCGAGGTCTCGAAGCAGAACGCGGCATGTGCGTTGCTTAGTTTAGCCATGATTGATGAAAACAAGGTCTCGATCGGTGCTTGCGGAGCGATCCCGCCATTGGTGTCTCTGTTAATCAACGGTTCAAACCGAGGAAAGAAGGACGCGTTAACAACTCTGTATAAACTCTGCTCCATGAAAGCGAATAAGAAGAGAGCGGTGACGGCAGGCGTTGTGAAGCCATTGGTGGAGTTGGTGGTGGCGGCCGGAGAGGCGACAGAGGAACAAGGGGCTGTGGGGATGGCGGAGAAGGCGATGGTGGTGTTGAGTAGCTTGGCGGCAGTCGAAGAAGGTCGGACGGCAATCGTAGAAGAAGGTGGGATCCCGGCGCTGGTGGAGGTGATAGAGGACGGTGCATCTGTGAAAGGGAAGGAGTTTGCCGTCGTAACGCTGCTACAATTGTGTGAAGGGAGTGCAAGAAACCGAGGATTGTTGGTCGGAGAAGGTGCAATTCCACCTCTGGTGGCTCTTTCTCAGACTGGAACTGCTAGAGCCAAGCACAAGGTAACATCTTTTGATGAAAAAGTTATCATCAATCTGGGTTTTTCATTTCATCAGTTCTTGAATTAGTTTGTTCTTGCTTAGAATTCATATTTGAACATAAGAGCATCTCCAATGGTAAAAATGAAGACTTAGGTTAACCATTGGAGCAATGACTTAATGAAAAGGTTAATCATTGGAGCAATGACTTAATGAAAAGGTTAACCATTCGAGCAATGCCTTAATGAAAAGGTTAACCATTGGAGCAATAACTTAATGAAAAGGTTAACCATTAGAGCAATGACTTGATGAATAGCTTGACATCCAAAAGTTGTGAGAGCTTTTAGATGACTTGCCATTAAAGTGAGTATTTGTTTGAAGATGATTTTTGTAGGGTGGAAATTTGTGTGGCAAATAGATGCAAATTATCTAGGAATAAAAAAGATTGCTTTACTTTCTCCTTGTGAATTTAATGCATAATATACCACTTTTTAATGCTTGATGTACAAAATTTAACAGTATTGTGCAGGAAAAGGATCTTTTATAAGATGTTTGGAAACCATAATCATGAAAACATACATCATATCCTCAAAGTAGTTGCATTAACTATAAATTGTTGAGGAATGTGAATGTTTTTGGGATAAATGCATCTTTTCAGACATTTTCTTTTCAAGAATGGTCACATTCTTTTTCAATTCAATGATGGTTCATTGGCATTTCAATAATTCTATTTGCTCGTATGTTTTTTATAGCTGTTTTCAATTTGGGTTTCTGTTATATATTAAAAGAACGTCTGAATGTTAAAAGAGCCAACTTTTTTGCAGGCTGAAACACTTCTGGGGTACTTGAGGGAACCAAGGCAAGAAGCTTCTTGTTCAAGTCCAAAGTAAAGGTAATTTGCTTTCAGATGATATAATAGTAGTATGTGTCTGTTGACTTGTTGTATATAGGAATTTTCTCTTGTACAGAGTGGTTTTGGGAGTCTTTTTATAAAAGAAAAAGGAGTTGAGTAGTAGTTGTAATTAGTATCAAGATTAGTGACAAGAAAGCTAAGCTGACCTTAGGTTTTGGTTTGTTCATTCTGTTTCTGTTTGTTGTAAAAGAAACAGAGAGGTCGTAGCTTTGTTTGCCTATTATGTTGTCGACTTGAGAGTTAAGATTCATATAATTTGGTGCGATATCGTTTAGGAGGGTGATATTGTAAGTGCACCATTCTTATATATATATATATATATATATACACATATGTTGTTCAGAATCAAGGCTTCTTTTCAACCTTTTATCTGTTTTTGGGTACGTGGAAATGGGATAGAACAAAACCCTGTTGTCCTGTTTCTTGTCATGGCAAGACGGGCAGGACATGATTGAAAGAGACAAAACAACACATCAAAATAAGTAGAACAAAAATTAAGAAGATGAGACCAGATTGTTAAATTACTAAAATACCCATGTTAAATTAAAACCCTAATTACTTGCAGAATTCTTTACTAAAACACATAGGTGGCTTGTGATCCTATTTTGGTTTTAGTTTTTGTTGTATGGTCATTCTTGATCCAGTAGTTGGTTGGTAAAAAACATGATATAAATGTCCTTTTGTTGGATATCCATCTCCTGTATTGTATCATTTGTGGTTTATATTTGAAATTTTGATGAATTTATGTTAAAAGATAATAATAAAAAGAAAAGAAAAGTAAAGTAAAGCAATGATGGGGGTGGGGTGAGGGTCCAGTTCATTGGTGTAAAGGGTGTAGCTTTCCTTCAACTGCACTGTTTGTTGGTCCTACAAAACCATTGGCATGTAGCAGCATTGAATCCACCAACCCCACAACAACTGTCCTTTTTTCATACAAGATAGACATACATACATGGGTGATTGTATTGTATGTATATTTTGTTTGTATGTCGACATCGTTTCATATCTATTTATGGTGAAAACGTGTACCCGATCGATACGTTGATGATGAATTGGAAGCGACGAGAGTTTTTGAACACAAGTTGCATCGAAGCCGTTCAGTCGAGTGCAGATGGATTGGTTGAACTAGAATTTGTTAATTGGTGTGTGTTAGCTGGCAAGTAGTAGGCATGGATAGGACCGTCTCCAATCATATTCATTGCATCCTGCCCTCGGATTTGGTTCCAAGCAGTAACATGATCAAAGTAACAAAATATGAGAATACCTATAGACTTTTAGTGTCAATCACATGTGATTAAGAGCTGTTCTATTCAATATGAGAATACATATACCATACTGTTATTTTTAGGGTCAATCACAAGTGATTAAGAGGCTTACGTACCCTATATCATATGTAATTTTTAGTGTCAATCACATGTGGTTAAGAGCCATCCTATAAAATATGAAAATACCTATATAATATGGGATTTTTAGTGTAATATCATATGTGATTAAAAGTCTGACGGGTAAGCCACGTTACACGCATACCCTTGGTTTTATACTTCAGCTTTGAGGATGATGGTGGATATTGGTGAATGGATTCACCTTTCAAAAAACTTGAATTATTGTGTGCATGTGCAGTTATTGTTGTGGTTTGTACATTGGTAATGTGGATGCTTTCATACCATGCTATTGGACCATCAATAATAACAAATTTGATAATGAATGATATAAAAAGTTAACTAATAAGTCAGATGACAATATAAAAGCTAGATATTTGGTTAATTATGTAAAATGGGGCATAATTGGAAGTCTATAAAGCTTATTGAAACGATACTTAAAGTAACTTTTTAAGTGAGACTCTTTCGATAAACTCAAAAATAAGCTGAACTTTTAAATCAACATGTTAATATAGATTAAAACAAATCAGATTTAGTGCAGTGATTAGCACATTACTGAATGTGATTTGTCGTCCTCCAACTTACTAGAACATAAGGGTTGGTTGATATCTCTTTAATTTTTACTTTACTTGAAAAGTTGAAGAGGATGAAATATGTGTTTTGCATATTTACTTGATATCTTGTAGTTGGATTGACGAGCAGGATTCGGGTACATGGAGAATACGAGGCGTAAATAGGCATGAGAATTGGTCCCTCGTCTCCGATTACTTATCTCTATCACCGTCTCCGTTTCCATCCCTACCGGGGAACATAATCACATCCCCATCCCCATCAGGGAACGGGGATCCCCAACGGGGAAATTGAGATTTTTTTCCCCGTTTATGTAAGTTATTAAATTAAATATGTGAGAGGTCATACATGTTTAAATCTCAAACATTTTCAATAAACCTAAACCAAAATGAATTTAATTTAATATAAAATAACCACAACATCAAATAAGAATTAGTAACCTGGAATTAAAAAAAAATCAATTTAATCCAAAAAAACTTAAAGTCACATGTACCAAAAAATATTAAGTAATATAAAACCATATAGAGTAATATACAAAACTTATCGAGTAATTGTATTTTAACTTGACATCCAAAATTTTACATATTAACTCCCAAAAAATAATAATTTTAGATTATAAACTTAGTTAAGAAATAAGAAATTATGAATTACCGCTTTAGTTGAAATAAATAATATACACATATATATGTATATGTATATCTTTATATATATAACTGGTACGGGGTGGGGTGGGGCGGGGAGTACAATATCTGTCCCCGTCCCCATCCCCGATTTAGCGGGGAATCCTGTCCCCAATCGGGGGTGGACTGAGTTCCTTGACGGGTCGGGGCCTATTCTCATGCCTAGGTGTAAATAAGAATTGTATCCCTCTATCACTTCTTGCCTCCTCCCTGATCCCCATCAACCCTTATCTATTGTGATTGTTGTTACTAGGGATACTATTGTCATTTTGCGTATTTTACAACGAACGAAACTAATGATCTTGACTTTGTGGATATCTTTGATATTTGTTAAAGTTTTAGGTTCATGTGAATAAGTCAAATATTTGAGTTTTGGACAAAAACGATACTAACAAGATTGTAGGGGCTTGCTCAATTTCTTTGGCCGATCCTCAATTTCTCTGTTGATTCATGAACCTATCAATTTACCAAGCAATCTCTACATCTAGTCGTAACTTGAAATTAAACCGACTCAAAAATGGTGTTGAATACGTTGACAAGATCACTGCCATTTTTTTTTACTGATTTCATAATGATTTCCATTTTGTTCCCACAACCATCATAATCTACGTACTACAATTACTAGGATTCATTCAACTTCATGTTTTCGCAACAACCCATAAAACCCATTGTCATCTCGTCATCACTGCTCATGGTGGATGTCTACCCACGATGCCCCAAAAGAATATGAAAACTATGTTCAATAGAAATTTTTGCTCGAACATAGATCTTGAAGCTTCAAAACCATGTTCATTGGCCATTTTCCTTGTAAGTTTCTCTCATTTATTTATATTAGAGTCAGACACTGCGTGTTGCACGATGACGAAATTTTTGTTATTGGTCAGACGTAACTAAGTTAATATGAAATATAATTTGATAAAGGACAATTGATAAGATACAATGTATAACAATTAATACAATGACGATACATTAATGCAAGTTATTTTCATTTATATTGTTTATTTTATTGAGGGAGATTCGTATTTTCTTTTCTTTTTGTAAACGAAATAATGTTATGATCTTGACGTGAAATTTGTACAAACATGATTAATCACAAATGTAAAAGAATATCAAACGTTATATTTGATGGACGGGTGGGAAAGTATTGTTTCCATTTAACTTCTCATACTTGATTTATAACCTAATTCATTCAACCAAAATTGAAATTGGTCGCACAGAAAATTATAATTAACCAGTTATTTGAATAAAAAATGAATATGGGGTTTCTTCGTATCAACACCTAACATCTTTAACAATGATATAAAAACACTATGAAACCTAGAAAGTGGCCATGTTTACGATGAACGAAATTAAGTATCGAATCCTAACATATTCAAACCTATAAAATGTCTTGCACACAAATTACATGTAAGTTGAATCATGATTAGAGATGGTAAATTTAACTCCAGAATACAACACACAAAGAATGCATGCTACTTAAATCAATAATCAATCTATATTACTTTCTAACTTATTAGGATCAATACCCGAACATGACAATCAAATCTATAACGACAACAATTTGAGAAACAACACTCACCTGGTTCCTATCTATCGTTGCTTTAAAACCCAAGAAGCCCTTTATTTCCACCCTCTACTCCTCTTTGTCAATGTCGTCCTTCACGACTACTATCAACAACCCTAAAAAAACCCAAAGGTTTTACTCTCTCTCTCTCTCTCTCTCTCATCTCGTTACTGTTATGGATTTAAACCAATCTATCTCCTGGCATACGATCACAAGTTAAAATACTAAGCAATAAGATAAAATGCATCACAAATTTTGTCCAAAATCATTCTCTCCTTCGAGTGTAGGGATTTCAGTATGAGAAAGGTCCTCGGGAGCACCATGTGATTGTGATTATTGATGGCTCCTCGTGTAGCTAATTGAGCCAACTCACTAACAAGACGTTGATTCAGAAATGAAAAAAAACGACATTGAAATAAGAATACAAAATATTTCGTTTTTGAAAGGAAAAAAACTATAATATGAATACAAGATGATTGGAACTCAAATTATAGGAAAGGAGTTTATTCAAACATGTGTCAATAAAAACTTAATAGAGATGGAGTAAATGAACTTTCAAAGGAATGTCAAGGAAGACTGAACCTCTAAAACTAAACCAGATTAAATTTTCCATCAAAAAATTAATAGCTGGTTTGAAGCATCTGCAACTTAAAATGAAACCTGCTTATTGTTGATATGGTTAGTTCAAAACTAAAACTTCATGCACAAATTCCTATAGACATAAAGGAAAACATTCAATTTTCACGATAGAGCCCAGTTCTTTTACACTCATAACATACAGATAGATATTACATATGGAAGTTCATGGGGATTAAACTTGTCTTAGTTCTTCTGGTTTTAAGAGTTACATTCAGTAATTTGTTTTATAAAGATGATGATCAAGAAGTAAGTTCACACTGCAATTTGATTATGATCTCCATAAAAATTAGTAGATATAACAAATTCATGATCACCACCTCAGTGAAAGGTTGTAACATTAATTTGTCATCTTCTAAAGGAACGTTTGATACATTGTTTCATCTTTAATGGTGGAAAAATCCACTAATAATATGATGACTAAAAATAAGTATAAGCTTTC